GAAGGAGAAAGGGAAGAGGATGGAAAAACAAAATTTTTTAAGATTTTATTACCATGTCATTAATTTTTTTGCCATATTGTTTTTTCACGTGGACTTAATAGTTTGACATATCATCATTTTCTATTAAATGTTGGGAACACGTAGGTAGATTTTTAATGAAAAGATCAAGTTGAAGTTAAAATAGTAAACAGTATGAATCAAATCAGAGATTTTTTGAGTTAAGAGATTAAATTTGAAGTTCATATAATAGTTGAGGGATCAAAATGAAGATTTAACCTAATTTTAATATAGATCGAGAGAAAACAAATGACAGTATCAAGTTTATCAACTCTAGTTTTTCCTCTTTATTAATTTATTGGACTACTGAAATAAACAAGAGAATAATTAAATTTGGGAACTGTACTTGTTTCCTGATCTCCCATTCATGTTTCAAAACATAATATATACTACTAGATGCCATCCAGTTAAGAAAGAGAAGAGAAGTCAAACATATTTTACTAATTTTTTCGCATGCATGCATTGCATTTGCAGGTAGACTCCATCCCCCATTACCAATAAAAAGATAAATGACGGGGACGAGGAAAGAAGACTACTCGAGATCGGCATTGATCTTCGTATCGTATCGTTTTTCAGGGCAACAAGATTACTAAATATCTGGAGTTTCTATCGATCCATAATTAATAAATGTTTACTACACATGCATTAACTCCCAAAGGCATAGATATTCTTTACCAAATCATATTAAATACATATTATGTAGATGTATATAATTAGATAATTAGATAGAATATTAATTTTTTAAATATCTAATAACATATTTAGTTTGAGAAAAATAGACATTTTCTTTCCTCTCTTCTCATTTAGATATATATAAGTAAAAAAAAAAAATTTAAATGAAGTAAATGACTTCCTTCCTTCCCTTCCATTTTTTTTTTTATAATCAAATAAAAAAAATTCCTTTCATTCACCCAAACCAAATCAAATATATTATAAACTAGATCAAAGATTCAATTATAAGGGAGAAAGAGTAGAATTAGTTTTTAAGAAAACAAAAATATTTTTCAGTAACAAATTACACACACATATATTTTATATATACATCCGCACATTAAATGGGAAACAAAAAGGATTTATAACTCATAAAATTCATTAGCCTATATATATCTATGTTAACAAGTCAGGATTGATGATATTACATGTTATGCCCACCTTAATTGAGCCCTGCATGGCTAGGTTTCTTGAGGCTCTTGATCTGCGACGTACTCGATCTCTTAATCCAGACGAAATAAGCATTATATATATATTCCGCTCAGTTGTGAGAAGGAGGATGCGTCTTGGGCGGTGCGTAATCCAAGTTGAAGCCAGGATTTTTCTCACCGCGTTTCTTGTGAGGCACACGCCATGAAACCGCATCAAGAGACTCCACCATTCGAGAAGAACTCAGCGTTTTCATTTTCTGCTCTTTTGCCCTTCCATCTTTTAGCTTAGGAGACTCAGAAGTTTCCTTTTTCCCTTCTTCTTTAGGATATCCAGCCTCCTTTGACAGCGTATGTTTCATCTTTGACACACCTGAAACCTTCTCATCATTCTGCACAAGATCAATAAATTAATGTCTAATATTCTTTTTCTTTAAACATTAAAGCCCTTTTGGTCAAATGAATACTAAGAAAATACGGAACAAATTTAATAAACGATATATATACAATTAATAGTTAATGGGAAAAATATATCTTACTCTTTCACTAGCCTTGATGGAGGGGTGCAATTCCTTCGCAAGCTTTTTCTCATAAACAGAAAGACGACGGCCATGGCATGCATGCAAAGATAGGCACAAAATAAAAAGAAGAATACAAGATTTGATTGACATGTTAAGGAAAAGAATTAAAAAACGCACATAAAAATGTGTTTCAAGGGATATGTACGTGAAAGCAAAGTTGGGGACTAGCAGCAGCAGCAGCAGCACCGGTATATATATATATATATATATATATGCGCGCGGTTGTATCTGTAGTACTTAGGGAATTAAATGCAGGTTTTAGGGGAGATTGAAGAGGTCCGCTAGGAGAACATGCAGATGTATGGGTGATAAAGAAAGATGAGGTTATGGGTGTGTCCCTTCTTTCTTTTCACATTTCAATCCCAATTGGGTCCACTCCCACCGCGCAAGAAAACTTCAGAGCAACAAGGGGGGGGGGGGGGGGAGTATCCAAAATAGAGATTTTTCGTTTGAAATAAAAAGGGTAAAAGAATTGAGAGTAAGACATATTAATCAAACAAAATGAGGAAAGGCAAAGTTGCTTCTTCCTAGGGTTCGTGCTTCCTTGTTACTTGCTCTTTTGCCACCATTTTACCTTGGAAAACTTACCCCATGAATATGATAATCCTAGATCGCATATAAAGTAGGAAACCTTTGACAGTACTAATGAATCAATTAATGGGCCTTTGAACTTTGAGCTGTGTATATCTTAATTTTTTAATTTGGTGAAGAGTCAGGTCAGTGGTTGCCAAAAATTCCTCTTTAAGTCCGTCTACATTTGTTCCATGAAACCTTGAACATTGCCTTCATCCTCTCGATAGAAAGATTTTCTTGTTTACATCGGGAAAATCCAACAGAAACAACCAACATGACCACTATTAATTACATGCATGTTAGTTGTAGATATTGAAATAGTTTTCATTACATTTACCAACATTTATTCATTAATGATCTAGTACTAAGATTTATGTACAACATGCAAGTAAAGTTTTAATTTCTGCTTGTATTACTTACAAAGTTACAAATACATATGAAAATGTGTTAGAATATGAACAAAACATAGGTATATCTATAGTAATAAGATAATAAATTGAGTAACTTAATTTAAATATAATTTTTTACTGCAATTATCTGTTTTCCACCAAACAGTTAGGTAGGGCCATTGAACCCGTTTTGGAGAGGGAAAACAGAGGAGACAAGGGTACATGGACCACCACCACTCTGCTGATGTTTCGCGAAACACAAAGAGAGTGCTCTAACCGTCAATGCCGACCAATATGACACGTGGCATGCACCCATGTGACTCATTCAATTGCCACGTGGATGTGGCCCCCACTTTCGGCCGCCAAATCAAAACCCATTCCTTCTGGTCCTCAAGCCTCCACTCCGTTTCTCGTTGTTCATGGCAAGAAGTTAATGTTTTCATCATATTTCGCCATTCCGGTGTCGTGGTGTAGTTGGTTATCACGTCAGTCTAACACACTGAAGGTCTCCGGTTCGAGTCCGGGCGACGCCATTTTGTTTGTTTTTGCCTTTTCTAATTTCCTTCACTTGCTAATTGTTATAAGTTTCAAGGACCGAAGTTTTAGGATAATGGATTAATGGCCTCATGGGATGTTTGTAGATGGTTGGGTTTGGGTTGAAGTGACGGCACGACAGGCTCAGCTCCCAATGAGGGTGGGATTCGGGCAGGGCGTTGACGAATTGGCACAAATCTGTATGTCTTGCAAAAGTCGAGCAGTCGTGGTGGGACTCCGCTCCGTTGTCTGCACGGCACTTCAAACTTCAAGGGCTTTATGTGTAGGGGCGTTCATGTTCGTGCTTCTTAAACCTATTGGTATGTAGCACAACACAACTTGCCTCAGACATGGCTTTCTGTCGGGTAAAGGGAATGTTTAAAGGGCAACCCATTGTTTATGACTCGAATCCTATTGAAGTCAATGCCACCGAAAGCATGGTAAAAAAACCAACCCGGGGTAACCCCCTTATAGTTTTGTGTAGAAACTAAAAATGGTGTTCACCTTCTGGAATACACACAAGTCATAAAGAAATTTGATCAATTATTCAAAGAAATAAAAAAATATATGCTTAGAATGTGCTCACCAACATAAATAATACTTGCTAATAATGCAAATGATCAGAGATGCAGAATTCTTAAATTGTTATGGTTTCTTATTCCCACAGAATAAAATGTCATGTGAACAGACAATGATGGCTTGGAGACATGATATATATCAAGGAATTTTAAGGTGTTCGTCAGTCTGATTTTTCACATAGAGAAGCTATACATACAGATTAATATACATGTAATGAAGAAGAGGGTGTCGGATACCGGCATCAGGCCTAGATTATTTAAGGCGAGGAACACGTTGATATATATGTAGGGGGACTGCATAATATGCTAGCCAAATGTATTCTCCCCGCTGTATGTAACATAGAGAAATCCATCTTCATCCTTCTTCTCATCATATATTTGTGACACTATTGCTCCTGCAATATAACAATAGAATATTACTTTTAAACACTGGAAAATGCTGACAGTTAGCATTTGAAGAGTATTAAAGGCATTATTCATGCAGGCCAGAAATACGCACTACTCATGTTCTGCCAATTAGAAGGAAAATGTGGAGAGAGAGAAGCAGAGTGAGGCATGCCAACGATAGGAATTGAATTTTGTGCTTGGCAATACCTGTTGGAGGGAGGACATTGTCCACAAATATGAAGATGGCCTTTTCTGCACTCAGTTTAATTCTCTTCCGGATGACATATACAAACTGACCAACTGTGAGATCAGCTGGGACTAGGTATCTGTCCAATTTGTAACCAAATCATTAGAGAAAGGCACCTCAGGTATCTTTCAAACTACAATTAAGTTCAGTAATAGTTATATAATATAAATATTTGCATTTTGTCCCCATTGTCATTTCTCCTTTCTCAAAATCTTTAATTCAAGTCGCTAACTAACTAGGATCTCAAAATGTGTAGATATACTGGTTTAAAAGAGGGAACTGAAAAGCATCCACATAAGATGCACTTCAGATTTCTGGTCTTATTCATTGCATTTCCCTCAACACTACAAGAAAAGGGAAAGATTGATGACAAACGGTGGTTCAATCCATATCAACATAATCACAAAAAGTTGAATGAAACATCTACTTACTTTTTCTTGTCAATGTTAGGAATGTCACTTCTTTCTGCCTTCTCCACAATAACCTGAAAAGAACAGAGCAAAAAACTCATTGAAATGAACTGGTGATCCATAAAACATTGTCATTCATCAACCAAGGAAACCACCATAATCACTCTGATTTAAACCTTTCAAATTTTAAATGAGAAGTGCTCTTCTCTTACACGTATCACCACCATCACATAAAGACCAACCATCTATGCACTTTAGACTACTAGTCTAATTGTCCTTGGGAGGTTGGAAACAGTTGTGGGCGGCAGAGGATTGATTCTAACACCATCTATGGACTTTAGAGAACCAGTCCGATTGCCCTTGGGAGGTGGACACAATTGAAGGGGACAAAGGATTGACTCTAACTTGAAGTGTACAACAACTGCGAAGATCCAAATTCAGAAAGTGGGGAAGGCAGAGAGAACTTTTCCTGGTTATTGGCTGTTATAACTTAGGTACACCTTTTAGAGCAAAACTTCTTCCTCTTTTCTCCAATCACATCAATCTTTTAAGCCACTATGCATTAGTATTATCATGCAAGAAATTGAAATGCCATGACAAAGGATTTGTAAGGCAAGATAAATGAGTTCTTTATCAGCGAAGGAAATAGCAGTCATACTGGGTTTTTTTTTTTGTTTTGGTCTTTTTTCACAGATAGGAATGGCATCTGTTGTAACTATAAAGTCTAAAACATAATACTGAATATTATTTTAGATGTACCTAAAATAAGAGTTGCAGAGGCACTACAGTAATGCAAAACTCTAAGCGAGATAGGACTCCAGAACTTAGGGCTTTCTTAATATCATCAACAGACTTGCTATGTGAAAGCAAAAGTTGTTTCTTAACTCAAACATTTTCAATGTTCACAAATCACCACATTCAACTAACATCCAATAAGTAAGATTGAAATTCTGGGTTCAAGAGAAGTATACTTGCATAGATACAGAAAAAAAAAAAAAAAAAATAGCCCTCCTTTAGTTGAATCTCTGGTACATAAAGATTAGTGAAAGCAACCACTCCAATTAGGCACTACCATTCCTTAAATTCAAATTTAGGAATTCTTCATCAAAGACTGTTTACTAACAGCAAATATCCAGACATAGACTTAAAGCATTACATATGTTTGAATTCAACTAATAAGCCTGTGATGCTTTCTATAATGTCATTTATCGGAATGCGAATAATTAAATGGTTGGCAACTTATAACCATACTAATAAACAGTGCATAATCCTTGTAATGTTAACAAGCAAAACCTGCATACTAGTTTATACTGAATCCTTGAAGAAAAAAACGCGACGCATTCAGAAAATAACAAAGAAAGAAGAGAATAAAGTCAAGTGTTAAAGCTTGATTCTTACTGGAATTCTATCAGGATACTTTTCCCTAATTCTTGCAGCTTCAGCACGCCTCTTTTCTGAATATTATTAAGACACCATAAATAAACACAAATAACCAAAAATGTTTCACAAAAGAGTTAGCTCAATGGATAAAATAAACAGAGACCATAAAATACCTAAGTCATGCTCTAGCTTGAAAGCACTCCTCCCCATTTTCCTGAAAAAAAAAAAAAAAAAACCAATTCTAAAAGGTCAATTGATACAAAGAACCATAAACATTCGAATTTTAAATACTAAAGAAACGTGATTATCATTAACATGATGATAAAAAGTCAACTCAAACAAAAAAACAGAATCAAATTAAAATATATGCAGAACCGATCATGACAAATTAAGAACCAAAAACTCTGAATTCCAATGATAAATAACAATAATTAGAACGCAACGATTCAGGAAACAACCTCAAAATTTTGAAGAAACTAAAGGAACAAATTGACTTTCTTCCAAAAAGAAAAATAAGGAAGAAGAAAATGAATGTTCAATAACCAAATGAAATACGGAAAATCAATTCAAAAACCAAAAGACGCCGAAGTCCGAACGGAAAATGAATGAGTTAGGAATTACAATGAAATCAACTAACCGGACGATCTGCTCAGCTGTTGTTACCTTGGATGATTTTCAGTGTTCCGGTGGATCATAATAAGTGCTGTACTATTTATTTAATACAGGTTTTGCCTTCCCCTACGGTGCCGTTTGGTTCCGGTATCTTCATGAATCAACTAAGAATTGCCACGTCATTATTATTACTGATTTTTGTTTTTCCAAGTCAAACAAATCTAATTATTCCAACCCTTAATTGCGATTATTATTATTATTTTCAAGTTCAACACAATATTCTTGTATTTCACGGCTAAATACAGTAACTGTTTTTTATGTTTTAAAAATTTATAAATGTTTTTTTATCTTACTTGTATATTGAGAGATAATTATTTTTTATTTTTTATTTTATTTTACTTGTATGCTATGCAATTCAAATTTAAAATCTCTTCCTTTCAGCAAAAAAAGATAATTATTAAATTATTTATTACATTAGCAAAAATTTATGAATAATTTAGATGTATTTTATTTGTATTAGTTTAAAAAGAAGATAAAAAAATAGAGTAGATAAATAATTAAATTTAAATGAGAAGTTAAAAGAACAAAGATTAAAGTAAAAAAATATTTATTTATTTAAAAACTAAAAAATGACAATATTTTTTAGACTACTTTAATATTATCTCTGTATTAAAATAATAGATAGTTTTTATTTAAATTTTGTCTTAAAATAATAATTTTTTATATTTAAAAAATAAATATTTTTTATTTTAAACTTATATCAATATTTGATTTTAATTATCCATCTTGTTATAAAAGTATTTCTTTATTTTTAAGATAAAATGAGAAAAAAAATTTTATTTTTAATTCTTTAATTTCAAAATTAAAATTTATTACTAATGACCTAAAAACTCAATGATCATTTTTTTCGCTGAAAGTAAAATATTTTAAATTTTGAGTCGTATAGCATGTAAGTAGAGTGTGATAAGAGATGAGAGATAGTTACCTCTCATTATGCGACAAAAAAAAATTTAAAAATTTGTTTGTTATTCTTAAACATAATGAGTGAGTAATATACTAATTTATAATATTTTGTATTGTGATTAAAATTTGAAATATGGTTATGACCACCAATAAAAATATTATGAGCACTAAAATTATATAATATTGTCTTTAGAAATATTAATTTTGTTTAATTTAATTAATAAAAAATAATTCATAATTATAATTATTAATTAATAACTAATAAAATAATTTACATTTATCCATTAATAAATTAATATTTTCAACTATTATTTAACAAAAAAAGGGTAAAATTTTAATAATCTTAATATTTTTTTATAATTAACAATAACCATACTCATATC